TGCACGTCAGTTGCTTCTTAGTTTACTGTTCTTGTGGGAGGCAGTGTATGCATTGGTCAAGGAAAGAGAGCCTGGAGACAAACACCTTGGATTCACATCCCAACTCTGCCATTTGCCAGCTATGTGAGTATGAGACAATTAACTCGTCTTCACAAGCCTCTGGTTTCTAAACTATACATGTGGATGATAACAGTATCTTCCTGTTGGGGTGTTGTGTGGATTGTGTTATATGTGGAAGGTAATTAACACAGTGCCTCGTGCAAACTAAGAACTCAGTAAGTGAGAGCTAAGGTAGGATTTGTAGCAGCAGGTCTGGATTGAACATCTTTGGAATGAGTCCTTGCTCCTGTCATTCCAACTCTGTGACATGTTAGATAGGGCTATCATAGAATCCCAGTATCATAAGACTGTACTGTTATCAAGCCCCCTCCCTATCACTTGCTGGTGGAAGGTTGGTAGGTAAACAACATTCCTCAGAATTATTCATCACATTTCTTCTCGACATTTCCAAGTAGACTTGTGCAGCAAGGCAAACTGTGTGTTGTGGGCTTAAGAGAACAGATGGTGTGGGAAGAATCTAGCATGTGCTGGGAAAACATGGTACGTTCCCATCCAGCATAGGGAGGAGCATGAACAGTACATACTGAATAATTCCTCCTCCCGGGTGGTGGGGGTGGAAAGAGGAGAGGGATAGTGGGGTACCGACAGCAAACTCCATGGAAAAGGTCCGGACTGCTACCTCTCTAGAATTTCTTCCCTGGACCTAGTGAGGCGCTAAATTTTGTTAAATGCTGTTTGAACATGTTTCTTACAAATGTACTAGGGACTCTTTCCATGAATTGATTGAAAAGTTTGGGACGTCTTAGGACTTTGGCCAAAGGACATGGGCCCCTCAAAAAAAACAAATAACCAGACATAAATAGGTACTTATTTAAATTACTATTATTATTTAAATGAATGCCTAGCATTTATTGAGCCCTATATGCCAGATCTGAGCTAAAACCTTTATAAGAATTATCTCATGAAATGTTTACAACCACACTCTGACACAGGTGCTGTAAGAAAACCAGCTTGCTTATAAGGAAACCGGTTTGAAGAGGCCTAAGGGTCACACATTTACCTAGGTCAATCTGACTGAATTTTAGGCTTTGACTATTATAGGTGCTATGAACTATCCCTAATAATAATAGGTTATGAACTAGGTAATTTCTTTGATGATCATTGTGTTCTAGGATGGAATAATATTGAATAGAAGAAAAGGAATTCAAATACTGAGGTCTAGAAGGGCATTTCTGGTTGGTTTGATTCTTCCTCTTGTTCCCAGTCTGAATTCTACAAGCTGTGGCCTTAGAGTTGGGCAGCCAGTCTTGTTTCACAGGGAAGGTCTTTTCATTTTCCTCTGGAAAACACTCCAAGATTTTAGCAATATTAAAATGCCGGGGAAGTCTTCCTGATTTTGAACCTAAGGTGGTGGTATTTCGCCTAACTGGATGGTATGAGGTAGGAACTGGAACACAAGCCCTTTTGACTATATTGGGTAACACACTGGTTCCTTCTTTTTTCCCTTTATTTTTGTTCTTTAGTTCTATAAATATTGATGGTATGGCTTCTCTAGGCCAGGCTTTGTGGAGGCATATCGAAGACACAAAGTCAAAGAAAAAGGCAAGGAAAATGCCTATCCTCATTACGTTTATTATCTTGCTTTTTCTTAGGCAAACAAAAAACATGATGAAACCCTGCTGTATTCAATAGTGGGTGTGTTAACTGCATTTTGCCCATCATCTGTATTTAAAATTACTTGCTTGCCTATTGTTCTAAATGCATCCACATGCTGTCTCATAACAAAACCACAGAGACATCCGTCATATAGTGTTTAATGGCTGATTGCCTTGATTCAGGAAGGTAAGAGGGTGACAACTTTGCTGAGTAACCCAGAATAAGTTGTTATATTTCTCCAGGCTTATTTTCTAGTTTAGAGACTGACTCTCTACCCTCCTTTCTGTGCAGGCAAGCCACCAATGTCCAATCGGTTTTCACATGAAGGTACATCTGTCCCGGAGTTGAACAAGCACCTGGAGCCAGAGAACCCTGAAGGGCTGGTCTAAAAGGATGAGCTCTGTCTCCTTTTCCCTGTCTACCATTGGATGAGTCACATTATCTTCTGTTAAGTGGGGATGCCGTTCCACGCCCTGCCGACCCGGATGATGGCACGATGTTAGGATCCGGGGAGACGGATCTGAAAGTGCTCTATGGGTTCAAGGGTTTTTAGTTAAATGGAGCTTAAATCTGAGCCACTTCACTGATAGGTGTGAAATAATCTCAAACTATGTGCTTGAATAGCTTGCAATATTAGATGATTTCTAATCATCTAATGGGTGGTATGGAACAAGTCGATGGCAATGTGAATTATTCTTTGAATTCAGATTCCACTGTGACAGAACATCTCCTGTAATTTCTGGGGAGTGACCCAGCAGAAATGCATACACATATTTATGAATACAGACAATAGTCCAAAGCCCTACAGTGAGTTGGGCCTCAAACTTCTATTCCTTCTCCCTGTTTAGGAAAGCTGTCCCTAGCTCCTGGCACCAAGTTCCCAAACCTGCCTCCAGATTACAGAGTATGCTCAGCAAAGAGTTGTTGCCTCGTCAACAATGAGCATTAGCACAGCAGTTGGACTGGAAGGAAAAGCCTTTGTCTATTAGGAAGCCTGCAGAGCTTGGTTGCTAGGCAACCAAGTCTGGAGGCAGCAACCAGTGTGCACCACATGGGAATCCAGGAAGGTGGGCCTGGAAAATAGGGAGAGGCAATTCTTAGAGTCAGCTGAGGCAGAAGAAGAAGAAGAAACAAAACACTGTCCTACTACCCAGGTAAAGAAGGGGTGCCTGCATGGAATTAAGGTGTGCATTTCAGCGTGAAAATGCTAAGTGCCAGCACTCACAGGTGACTAACTATACTGTCATCTGGAAACCTGTGTGACCTTGAGTAGGTGGCTTTTTCCAGCCTCAGGTTGCCTGGCAAAAGCAGAGAGCGAAGGAGCCAGGTATCACTGACTTGCCCCATCCCTGCCACTGCAGGCACCACACACGCATACCTTCTGAAAACAGAGAAACATGGGCTTTTGCATACTGTATTTGCATGAAAGGATTGAAAGAAGAGGATATATCACTAAAAACTTGGGAATAAATGGTCTTTGGGATTCCTTAAGCTTCAGGTTACAAACAAAATGACTATTTCTTCTTCATAAACATAACTAAATATTTACACAGGACAGAATACGCCAAACTCCAGATATGGGGGAAGTTCTCTTTCATATAGCCAAACTCTTAGAGTGCCTCTGTCTTAAAAAGCATTCCTCAGCAGTCTGCCAGCATATTTAAAAAATGCAAAATTAGATACTTTTGGGGGAATTAAGTCATGAACTACTCCTGAGCCACACGGAGGTCTGGCACATCAAGTAAATATTCAGTTTAAGGTTGACAGTGAATTTAAACTCAAAGGAATGAGGCACCTCCCAGTGAAATTTGCTATGAAGGGGTATCCAGGGTGGAGAATCAAGCAGAGGTTGGCACATGCAGGCCCATGAGGGCTGGGGCATCACAGAGAGAAGGCACTAGATCATAAGATTTGCAGGTAGGAAGAGAGAGATGTGAAGCAGGACTTCACTTATTTTAGCTGTTCACCTTGGATATGTTACCTAAATTCTCTGATGCTCAGTTTACTCACCAGTACAATGGGAACAAGAATAGTATGTACCCCTAAGAGATGCTATGAACTTTAAACAAAATAATGCATGGTAACCACTTAGCAGAGGGCCTGGCATATTGTAAACGAAGAATAGAGGCTAGTGAATGTGTCCATGTAGACTCTTGGATCGGTGTCACAGAGTAAACCTGGCTGAGATTATGGTTTGTTTTTTTTAAAAAAGGAAATGCACGTACAGCTCAGGGGCAAGACGTTGTCACAGAAAAGTACTATAGTAGGAGTTGGGAGATCAGGCCTCTGTGAAGGTCTAGGTCACTGTCAAGCAGTTAGAGTCCCGATGTGCAATTGTGACAGCTCAGAGGTTGCACAAAAAAAGCAGGCTTATGCCCAAGACCACCTTCCCCAGCACCATGGAGACCTACTCCAGACAGAGTTCAGCTCCAAGTGCAGATGCTTCCAGTCTGAAATCTTATTTGTGGATATCACTTATCTTTGAGTACTTTCGGAGCCTTCCATATCCTGGAATCTGGGACCTGTGCTCTGAGTGGCCGGCTTTCCAGAAGACCACATTTGCGGATTCTTATCTTTTGTGCAGGCCTTGCTCTGCACCATGTGTGTCCTCTTCCTCTCTGGGTTAATGTTTTCTCCCCAATACAAAGAAAGATTGGCCTATTTGATCTTTGATTCTGCTCCAGCTTGTCTTTTATACATTTTCCCTAAACTTTTCTTCAGAGTCTTGGAGATTTTTATTCATTCATTCATTAAACAGGTTCTCTTGCATGCCTAATCAGTGCCAGGCACTATCAGAGGCACTGAAGATACATGCATTGGTAACCACCTGGCAGAATCTCTGCTGTTATGCAGCTGACAATGGCAGGAGATGAACCGTGATCAGGTAGGCAGAAATGTCTGTTTATTTCTGATGGTGGTAAATGCGACCAAGTATATTAAAAGACAGGACTCTTTCAGTTATCTAGTACAGTGTAAAAACCCCACCCCAACTCATGTACTGCCTTAGAACAATTATTTATTAGTTCTCATGAATCTTGAATTGACTGGGTCAGCTGAGTGGTTCTCCTCCTCCACTTGCAATAGCCAAGTGATTCATGCAACTGCATTCAGTCGGGGGGTCGTTTGGGGCTGGAACATCCAAGAGGAGTTGTCATCCTCCAGGGTCTCCCCCGCTTGTCATCACCCCATATTCCTCCCCAAGCTTCTTTGTCGAATGGCAGCTGGACATTTAGCCCCAGTGCGCAAGTGCTCTCAAAGCTTATCTGGTTGTCATGGTTT